AGCAGCTCTTCTGCGGAATTTCGCTCAGAAACGTGGAGTTTCTAAACAACAGTCATCAACGTTCAATACTCCGTCGCCCCACGCGATGCTTCGTGACTAGAAGCCTCGTCTGTAACCCGCAGGTTGTCAGCCCACGCGCACCCGTGCGTTGCCCTAGAGCGCATCTCGACATAACTCCGCAAACATCCAGCGCGCTTTATTTTCACCCGCGACGACAGCGACTGCGACCGTACGTCACCGAAAATAGTAAAAGTTAAAAAAATTATGTCCACTTTTTCAATTTGTAACATTGGATTTTTTTGGATTTTTAACTAGTGGAACAACAATCGTTTTAGGTAAGAATTTGAGGATACATTTAGTGCTGTTAGTACTTGAAAAAAAATTGCAACGAACATTTTACCAATATACACCATAGAAAATTCGTGACGTAGTCAATCTCAGCATCCACTGAAGTTCATCAGCTGAGCGTGGGCCCCCGCGCGCGCTTGCACTAATACACCGCTTCTCGTGAGACAGAGCTATAAGCTCGCTAGCCGCGACACGTACGTGCATGGACACGCTCACGGATAGCGAGCCCCCCCAAGTCGCGAAGAAGAACTGCATTAGTAAAACCACACTCGATCTTTTCGCTGCCGTCGGTTGTTTACCCGAAGTGGCGCGGAGTCAGGTATTCAGTATCGACAGGCGGGTTCACTAGCTCTCAGCTGTCCGCGTGCGACGCATCTGTCAGCATTGTATCGGCGTCGCTGCAGCGAGCGCACGCACTTACTTATTTACGACCGCGAGCAGACGAGCACGATCTGGGTCAAGAATAAACGAGTATACGTAGAGAGATATGAAGAAAGGGAGAGAGAGAGAGAGAGAGAGAGAGATTCTGTACAGCGTTTCGTGAGAGGCCAAGCATGGATAGCGGCCGTGCTTAAGTCGCCGGGCCCGGCGTGGGGCACGGCCGCGCGTGCGTGCGGACGGCAGCGGCCGTGCACCGCTGCGAAGGTTAAGAAAGTGAAATCGGTGCATGAATGACTCTGTTAGCGTGCGGAAGTGTATATAT